AACTAGTTTGGCTTTGACTTACTTAATCTGCTTCGTTTTTATGTTTTTCAAGCTTACTCGATTCGAGTGTAATAGCTAATTAAACTCTCGTTCTATCTATGCATGTTATTATTCCCATCATAACTTTCTCGCCAAATGTATACAAGATATTCACTGTCTTTAACTCTGTAAAAACGCAACCTAACAGATGCATTCATGCATTCATGATTTAGTCAATCAAAACGGAGAAAGCGAAAAAAAAATGCATGAAGGAAACCTAGTCCTAGTAAAGTGAATGTGTGTAAAGTCCTTCAATAATAATTAACGACCATTCGACAAATCTTGATCCGACCCGTTTACACCAGACGATGAATCTTGACCCGACCCGTTTACCCCAAACGAACTATCCAACCACCCTTCAACCTTAGCCCGTTCAACGAACTTGTCAAACTGTTTCTTAGCATCAGGCACATCCAAAGCCAAGTCATCGATACACTCGCCAACCCTAACAAACCCTTTACTCATTTGATTCATAGTAATAAGCTGCATATCAAAGCACTGCCTCAACAAACACCACATCCTATCGTTCTTATTCTCCATAAGCACAATCAGAGCCTTCTTCACAACTTCGTGGTGAAAAAACGGCATACTCAGCTCCTTTATACACCGACACGCCTCCCTAGTACCACCCCCTGCCTCAAACTCCTCCAACAACTTTCCGATTTTGTCCTTCACATCTTCGATCGTCCACCCGTTTTTGCAGCTCCCTCCACCGCCCCAACACCTCAGAATCCGCTCGCCGGAAAGCCGAGCCTTGAGGAGAGATATAGCCATTTGAGTCACTTTATTCCCTATAGAATCAACTCCCGGAAAATGGCTCCCGATTTCTTCCAACTCTTGTGGGGTCAACACTTCGTCAACTTCCGCTCTAGCTAAAAACATAGCAAGATCCTCGACAACAACCGGAATATCCAGAGCAGTATCTTCTGCGGATTCTATCAGCATTATAAACCCACTGACCACATCGTCCGAAGGAAAACACAAAGAGGAAAGCAAAACCGAAGCCATTTCTTTCTCCCTATTCTTCCTGTCCATAGCTAAAGTAATCAATTTCTTCACAAAAATCGCGTTAAGCTCTGCCACAGAGAAACTGTTTTCAAATTCCAAACAGCAACTAACTTCCGAAATATCCCCCGACAAGAAATACTCTCGGATTATCGACTCTGCCTTCTTCTTGAAGGCTTTAAGCGTATTGTCTTCGACCGCTTTTTTCCCTGGATGCAGTGACAGTGACTTCAAAGACGAAGCACAAAGCCACCCTTCTGATGCTGCTTTAGAAATCAATGACTGCAACAACACTTTCGCATTCGGTATATCTAATGACAGGTCGTCAACAGAGTCGATAATCCGACTGAACCCCTTCGATATCTGGCTCGAATTTATCAACCCTTCTTCGGAAGATCTTTTTAGCAGTTCCAGAAGTCGGCTTTCGGCCTGTTTCTTTTCCATAGCCATTAATACAGCTCTCTTAACTATTTCATGGTGGAAGTGAGGAACATTCAGATTCTTGATACATCTGCTAGCCTCTGTTACATCTCCGCTCACTACGTATTCGACTAATAAGTCGTTTATTTTCGCCTTGAGATCTTCCACCGTTTTATTCTTGCTGCCGCCCCAGCACCGCTCGATTGTTTCTGCGTGTAAAGGAGCGGATAAATACCCCTTCTCAGCTCTTTTAATGACATCGACTCCTTTCGAATCTTTGCTTAAATAAGCCATCGTCTTTGTCAAGAAAGAGGGTGGAAGTATATCATCAACAACCGCTCGAGCGATGAACAATGCAAGAATGTCTACTGCATTGGGAATGTCAACAATCAAATCATCTGCAGACTCAACGAGCTTTTGAAAACCTTTGTACAGTTGTTGTGGATCGATGACATCACCGTAAAGCGAGGAGAGCAGAATGGAAGCCATTTCTTTTTCCTTGTCACGCCTGTCCATGGCAATTGAAACGAGCTTTTTGACGAAATAGAAACTGTAGCTTAGCATGTCGAGTTCTCTCAGTTCGTTAGCGGTTGAGATTAGATCGTCATTAGCGAAATATTCCTCCACCATAACTATTGCTTTCTTTTTGAAGTCTTCGAACTTTTCGCTTCTTTTAACGATGAATTTGATGTCTTCCTAAAACCATATACACATTCATTTCGATAATTAAAAACATAATAACAAGGGAGATGTAAGAAAAAAAGGAGATCTCTGCACTTCAATAGAATATTCAAGGCAATCACCTTATCGGTAACATAATTTGGATCATTGATATCATCTACACAGCCATCTTCGCTATCGAGCAATCCTCCCCAGGTTCCTTTCCCACCATAGCCACCTGGACACTTATAATTTTATATATTTACTTTAAAAAAATAGCTGAATAGGAATCTAAACCGCAGACAGCATCAAGTGCCAAAAGCATCATCATCCAATGAAAGCCACACCACACATTGTAGTTGAAGACACAATAAATAGTGAAAAAAATACTAATAAAACATGATCCTTATTAAACCAATGCAATTTTCAATATGTTTCAATAATGTGATATCAAAAAAATAAAAAAATAATATTTTTTTAGGTGAATAGGAATCTAAACCACAGACAACGTCAAGTGCCAAAAAACATGATCATCATCGTCAAATTCATCATCCAATAAAAGCCACACGACACATGTAGTTCAAGAAACATTCACTAGTGAAAAAAGCTAGTAATAATAAAGTGACCCTTATTTTAACAACTGCAAATTTCGATATGTTTCACCTTTCTTAGGCTGACTGTGTTTCCCAGAATGAGAATGCCTTAGATTCTTGAGAGGGCTCGACTGGGACCCACAGGGCTTGCATTTAGGAGATCTCGGTGACCTTGGAGACCTCGGGGATCTTGGCGAACGTGGTGATTTTGGTGATGCTGTTGAGATCATTAATGGAGAAAGGGACGATGGATCGGCACTTTCTGAAGCAGATCTATATTGTTCTTGATGCTCGTTTGACATGTACTTTTCGGAGAAGTCCATTTTTTTTGTTGTTGGATTCTTCTCTAGAGTCAAACTATGTTTAACTTGTACCGAGAGAATCACAACATTCGTTTGCACAAAACTAAGTTATCTCCTCGAGGGGGTTAGTTGCTTCGATCCGCTAAATCAATCTGCTACTGGAAAAAAATAAAAAAAATCATATTTTATCAGAGCAAGTCAATTATTGAAGCCGAGCCAGAAATGTGCATAGAACTTCTCTATTAACCAGCGAAGCACATAAAAAATCAACTAAAAAAAGATAAAAGTTGTCTTTAATAGTCTAAATCACACAGTAAAAAATTATCTTCATTTTGTATCCAATTTTTTCTTTTTTTTTTTTTTCCAGTGAGCGTGTCACACACCACATACACAAACATTAAAGAATCAATTAAATAAAATGAAAATTAATCATTCAAACTCATACTCACCACCAATCAATCGCAAAATAAATCCTCGAGGAATAAAGAGAATCGGCGAATTCAGAGCAGTGAGAATTAGGTCAAGTGAGCAGAAAGAGGAGTGACCGAATTATTTGAATGAATTCTGAAGGAGAGTAATTGCTTCTTCGATCCTACAGATTGGTGGAGGAACGGTGGCGGTTATGGTGAGAAAGCGTCGTTGGGCGTCAATTGAATGGCGATTCCGATGGAAGAGGGTTTCGGTTCCTTCGGCTCTGCTTTTTTTCAAATGCCGCGAGATTCGGTTGGTCAAATTAACTGCCTTTTTTAGGGAAAATTATTTGATTTTTTTACACGATAGTCTTCTTCCGTCACACAAGCCTTGTTCCAAAAATTAATTTACATTTTAGTAGATATAAAATAAAAATAAAAATTAAAAATAAACAAGTATGTTTACTTTCTCAACGATATTTTAATATTATAAAACACTAGTTTATTTGCATAATTTTTTTTATTATTTTTGACCAAGAATTCTTGCCCTTTTCTTTTGGCTTCGTCAAAACTGTGTGAATATGTAACATAATTCCCTAAGTTTTCAGCCACAAACAATCATTATTCGGTTCATTCTACGTGTAAAACCGTCACCCGAAACCCGAATTTTTGCTAGATGAAAAAGTACAAATTTCATGAAACGACAGACAAAAAAACAAAATTAGATAGCAAAGTATAAATGATGTCATACATCGAATGTCGATTCACTTTTACCCCAACTCGTTACAGTTAGCAGTTAGCTTAAATAGTTAAAATCTACAAACAAGAACCTTTTTGTGTTTACAGAAGAATGACTAACATTACAGACATAAAAAAGAAAAATCGAATGAAAAAAAAAAACGGTGACTACATTGTCACTGAAGTATCGAAAACAGGGGTTTTCTTAGTCTCACCTCCAGCATTCAGTTTTGCCCGTCGTTCTTCATAAGAGGCTGAAATGATTTATAAAGAAAACACGGTGATTTGGATGAACAGAATTAAAGACGCAGAGACATATTTCATTATTACGAAAAACTTACGCTCAGTTGGTCGTGATATTAGAGGAACGTGAGCCGATTCCTTTTTCGTTTTTCTACTGTTTAGCTGATTATTTACTGCAAAACAAAAGTTCCAATAAGAGAATAATAAAAAAAGGAAGCAAGTTGGTATTGATATATAAGATTTAGTACCGTATAAGGCACAAGAAGAACTTAGCAAGGCCTCGTTAAAGATCGCTGCTTGGAGTTTATAGCTTCGGCATTCCTTCTCCAAGTGAGTGTGAAGTGCTTGCCTAGCATCTGTAACTCATATCCGTGAAACCATTTTTAATTCCGACTAAAAGTGCACGCAAAATTGTATAACTTATACGTATTGTTTATCATCTTTTTTACTATTTCGATTTGTGTCTTTAAATTTAAGCAATTGTTGAAAAATACCTGATGAACACATAAACCCGAGGCCTTCAAATTCACAGGAATGAAGAACCAGCGGAATCTCGGGAGCCATTATGTATTGAGGTTTTCTTGGTGTCGTTTCCACGTTTAGTAACTCATCTATCACCTAAAAAAGTTAAATCACGTTACATCTTCAAAATCCGCAAGGCCCAATTATTTCCTACTTAGCCAATAATAAGCATATTCATCAAAATGCATTTAATTAGCACTCATTAATCGATTCATTCGAAAGTACTTGTTGCTTTATGCCGTAATTATGGCGTTCTTGTATTCAAAAATCAATTTTTTCATAGATTTAGACAAAAACACAAAATAATGGAATTTGCAAAAAGGAATTGGCTTCAACATTTTTCAGTGAATTGAACCAGAAATTGAAGAAATCATAATCACGCACATTAGGAGATTCAAGACGTTGGCCAATCAAAAACAGTACAGCAACCATGCATCGGATCTGATGCCACAGGAAAGCACTACCTTTGATTTTCACTGCCCAAAGTTCATCATCTTCAAACCTGTGTAAATCAATAAAATAATCATGTTTAAAACTACTATATACCTTCAAAGTTTCTCGAGTAACAGCATAAGAACGATGCAAAAAAAAATCCTTCTCTTTTTCTTTGTGTGGTAATTTGATGCGGTGTAAAAGTGTTAGAAAGTTCAAGATTACTTCTAAACCTTTCGTTGCATGGGAAAATATCAAATGACGTGATGCACCGCCTATAGTTGTGGACATTAGCTGCATCCATCTTACAAAAATTTCTGAAATCATGTTCCCCAATAAATTTATTTCCAGCAGTTTTCATTACCTGTCGAAAATGTTCAAGAATTTGTCATCCTTCGGAATTTCCCAATAGTTACGTATAAAGTAGTCATTTACTTTAATAAAATATTGGAAGGATTGGAAATATATACAAAGAAATGCTTACCTCGACATCCAAATTCTCTTTCCAAAAGAAGTACTTGTATTCCCTGCTCAAACAACTGAATCTGCGATTAATGGATGAATTCTTAATTAACAATATCAGGCTATCAGCAATTAAGATTTGCAAACATCTAAAAATCGGAAACATATCATTTCCACACCTGATTTATCATCGTTAAGATGAAAAACGGTACGTGAGTTTTCTGTAATGCACCAAATGGTACTTGACTATTGAAAAATATCAAATTGGTACATACGGATCGAATTTTATCCAGAATCTTTCTAATAGCATATTTACTCTTTTAAACTCCCATTTAGTTTCACTTCCCCGTTTTATTTATTCATAATATATTAAATCTAATTGAATTAAATCTTCTCAAACTCGTGAAATCTAAATGAATAACGATAAACCTTCATGAAATAAGATTCGAAAACCACCATAGCAGAATACCTAGCACTGAAATCAATAGGAGCAGGTGACCATCCCATGATTCTAATATCTTTTGGAAGAACTCGGTTTAGAAGCTTCACATAATCTATTTCTGCACCTATCAATATCATGAAAAGAGTAAATAGATTGACTAAAACTAGAAAGAAAAAAAATTAAAAAAATACTCACGTATTTCTCGGAAAATATTTCGCCAGAATAATTAGGCATACCACATGATTCCTCGGAAAATATTTCGCCAGAATATCCATTGATCGCTGCTTCCTTAAGGTTTGTTCGCAGAAATAAAGAGATTACCTGCAATAATTTGTTTAAATGAAAAGGGCACGAGGTTACACAAATGTAAAAGATGCTACTGGAAATAAATGCCTAGGCTATACAGAGAAGAGTTATTACCGTTGCCAGATAGATTTCGAACAGCGAAGATCAATTTAAGGTTTACAGTCATATTCCTTTCTAAGAGAGTATAGACTACCCGATTAAACTAAATCTTGTTCAGATATTCGGTTTTACTTTACTCATTATCCACTTACTTGGCCAACAGAAGAGACTCCCTTGTCTGTCCTGCCACATCTTGAGTATTGCAGTTCCTTCTTATCTCCAGATACTAACCTTGTTTTTTCGAGGGCCTTAAATATTTCCGACTGCACTAATTAATAAGAAAGCACTTTTCATTACTTGTCCACAAATAACTTTTTTGACATGGAACTCAATAAAAATATTAATGTTTAACTAAACAAATAAAATCTTGTTTGTGTTATTAGACAGAGAAATGTGACTCTAGATTGAAGGTTCGAATTTACTTCTCCGGTGGGTACATAATATTACATATCGGTTTCAGAGGAAGTATGTGAGTTACACGAGAGTTAAGCACAGTTATGAATAGCACTCATGCTGCCTCGTGAGTGCATTTAGTCAGAAACTCTGAATGTTCCTTGATACATTATTTGGCTGCAAGATTTAGATTTTTGGCACTGAATTACAAACTGAACTCTGTTTTAACTGTGTCTTATTATTATTAATAACTTTTTTTATCTGGAATTTAGAGTACGCTGCTACATGGTTATACACAGAAACAATACAGAGGATATAATTCAAATTTGGTACTTACTATCCCTATGAATTAACTAACAGGGAAACTAGCACTAACAATTAGCAAAGCACCATGCTACATCACGCCATCTTACGATTCTTGATCCAATAAGTCAGTGTCTCAAGCAATAAACCGGAGATAGGAACATGATGCACGTGTGAGACAGAAAAATAGAAAAAGGCGAGGGAAAGATCACCTCTACAGTCGGATCCATCTGTCCCTCTGATGCAAAACCATAGAATCTGTAAGGGCATAACGCAAAAGTTTATCATCATATAGACAGACACAAAACATTGTAAATGTCGGACATTCAGACCTATTGACATTGTGATAGCTAACCCTTCACGCAAGGCTTATATGAAAACAAAAATACCCAATTTGAACTAAGTAACGGGAAACATAAGTTCTATTACTCTGCAGTTCAAGTATTTTAGCATATATAGCGTCCGCGAGTGATAAGATACGAAGTTCCCTAGATCACCGTAATGAGCACAGAAATCAGAGGCAATCATGAAACAGTTTCTCTTTCTTTGTACCCGGTAAAATAAATCAAAGCACACTACATAAAAATGATTTGCAAAGGAGAGATCCCTTTGTGTACCTTTGACCAAAATACATGACTTTTAAAGCAATACACCGCTTCGGTAAATGATGTAAGGCCATTGTATTGCTGCACGATTTATCTGAGAGAATATAACGTAACGAAGATCAAAACAGACTCTGCAACTATATCCGATACAATAGAATAAGGTTTCACTCCATTTTGTTTGATCTGAGAGAACAACCTGGCATTTTCTTTGATATGTTTTTCACACCATTTTCATCATATTTCTGCCTTTCCGTGTCCTCAATCGGGGTTTTATTACCCTCTATAATCTGCATCAAAAAACAATGAATAGACCCAAACATGAAATTCCACCTTTTCCAAACATAAATCATAGCCAGTTGAAGAAACAATAATCAATATTTCTTCAACACTTTTACATACAATGTTTACATGAACAACTAATGATTCAACACGAAAAAAATCCTACCTTTAAAAAAAAATCAGAGTACCACCACTTAAGTTTAGTGAATAAAATGATTGCATAATGGGTGAATACCCAGCAAACATATTTAGCCTACCTTCTTGCAGACGCATTTTGAGAGCCGGGCCGAGAGCTCCGCATTCTCAGTCTCTAATTCCTGGTTTCCGAAATTAACAAAGCAAATAAGATTAATCAATTTTTTTCTTTTAAATGTTTTAAGTAATTAAAACTGCGAGGAAAATTCTCCATCATGGAATTTCATACAAGAATTCTTTTCTGAAGAGACTTCATTTGGATTTGCAACGAGTTCGCTACTTCAGTGTTCAGATTTTCTTCCATTTTTCTCGTTAGCTTGTGAAAAGGTGCACACCAAGTGTTTGAAAACTGGACTGAACGAAAAACTTCGCCGGAAACTTCAGACTGAAAGACCCACTTGTTGAAATTCTTATTTATTATTAATTTAAAATTTTAATGAAATTATACAAGTGTATTTATGTCATTTTCTATTAATGTAAAAAAAACGTTGTACAGTGTCATTTTATTTTAGTTTTTTTTTTCTTTTTAATTATTATTATTATTATTATTATTATTACATCATGTCTTTTACTTACTTTATGCTAAATTTTTAATTCTCACTACTTGATTTGTTCAATTATTATTAATTTATTTTATTTTGACCAAATCTCACTAATAATCCTTCATCTTACTATTTAGTTCCTTGTTTTATTTATCTCATTATAGTTATTAAAATACAGAAATTAATTATTAATTATTTTTCTCATAATTTCTAAATAAAATAATCAAAAATGGACACAAAAAAACTTCTTGATCCCACATTTGACACAAAGATCTAAATTCAAAAGAAAAACGTCATGTACACTCCTCTACAATGTCCCATACTGTTAAAGATCACACAAGTGACAGATCCTTCAATCTTTTGCCACAGATTCACCACTACCAGCAGCTGTTTCTTCCGTTTCCTCTTCATCGTCAGTATCACTTTCGTAACCTGCGTTCGTCGAAGAAAACAGTCGACCTTTCTTAACATGCTGAAGGTGATCGAAACTTCAAGATTATAAGCCAAACTTACCTCCATCACCTTCTGCAGCTCCAGCATCGAAATCTCCAGCCCCACCGATGTTCAGTTTCTGAAATAGACAACGTTATCGAGATCAAACAGTTCTGCGTAGATAACTAATGGTACTATTCAAAGTTCACAACAGTTCCATTGCAATATATCTACTCACCGAAAAATTAAAGTCACCAAAGCCCGTGTCACCTGCGGCTGAAAAAAAAAGTCAAACGAAATCAGTTCACTAATATCAAATAATCACGAAATTCACTAATCCATCTCAACACTATACAACTCACATTTCTCATCTTGTTCGTCTTCGTCCACCCATTTATCCCAATCAACTTTCAAGAACAGCGGGGGTTTGCCCCCCTGTTTGAGGAGCCTACTCCACCATTTACTCTCTGCCTTCTTCACAAGATAACATATATGTCTTGAAGTACAACTAGCTTTGCTTTCCTGAGAATATCAAAGTTACCATCACCTTCATTTTACTTGCAATATCGAAAGGGCAATAGCGACTTGCTACAGTTTCAGATTCCGTCACTTACATCGACAACAACCTTGTCGTAAAGATCAATATCTATCTCGTACGGTACGTTATCCACACCACCGGTAGCAGAGAAGAAGAACTTCCCTTCTGGATCAAGGTTAAGCTTCACATTCTTTGCATCCGGTAGCTCCACAGTAACGAATAGCTTATCGGACCTCTGAGCCCACTTTACAAGCGGATGTCGACTGACATAAATAATTCCCCACAAAAAAATCAGTTAAATGGAATCAACAACAAAATCATAACCCAAATTTCAATTGAGGGCATTGAAAAGTTGGAACAAATGATTTACATAAACTACTTCAAATCGAAATTCCGAATAGCACCAGTAAAAGAAATGTAGCATTCAAGCCAAAACCATCAAAAACTAACAGTCAACACAGTAATTAATTCCCGACTCTATTAGGCATTTCGCATTAATAAAGATTAATTAAGAAAATGATTATGCTCCAACTAAGAAACTCAACAAACCAGCAAACCCTATCTAAACCCTCGAAACGCAAACGAAAATCCAATTAGAAACCATAACGAAGCCGAAAAATAAGATAATTTATCCACATAAATCTCTAATCAGTAATCACTTCAAAGAAAGTTTGACATAGTTGATGCAAAATACCTCATTTTTTTCTGTAACGCAATTGAATTTCCTTCAGAGGATGGTGAAATGGAATCGGTAGCGGACTTCAAACTGCGCTTGCGTCTATGAAATAGTATTTATATGAAGGCGGTGCTGGAATTTTCTAGATGCTTCTTTTGGCGGGGTTGGAAGATACCTGCAAAATCTTTCGATATTATCCGATTTATTTAAATATATATTATGATGGCCTAATAAAAGGCCTTTGGAGTGCAATGGCCCGTTAAAAACGCCCAAGTTACTATATACTTTTATCTCGCCTATAAATTACCCACTATAGCTCAATTTGAAAATATTTAATTTATATTCTCAACATTTTTTCGTTGGCTTAAATCTTAATAACTCCTTTGTTAGTAAAAATATAATAGAGAGTTGTCGAAGGCTGATCTTTTATGCATGTGAAATGAACAAATGTAAACTAAACCGAGGGTTGATCTGACAAAAACTCTTCCAATGTTCAAGTTAGTGGTATGTGCAGCAAATCAAAAGAATTTCAGAGGACCAAAGCAGTCAAAAGTAACGTAACTTAAAAATATGAGCTAGAAGGGTTTATATATAGTTTAATTTGTAGAATTATTATCGATAATAACACTAAATTGGATTATAAACTTAATGGGCTTAAGTCGATAAACTAATGGGATTGAGTCCGGTTGACTCGTTAGCTTAATTAATAGTAGATTCGTTGAATGAACGATCTGATGTTGATTAATAATTAATGGGCTTATTGGATCGACCCAAAAGAGTATATTTGTATATAACGTATAATTTTTTTTAAGATTATAAGATACATAAATTAATAAAAGTATATTCAACAAATTTGTAGTTTAACCAAATTATATGGTAAAAAAATAATAATTTACATATTCTAGTGATTTTGAATTTTCAATTGCAAAATAATTGTACGTATACACCACCAACATATAAATACCACAAAGACACAATTTAAATTGGGGCAATGGCATATGTGGAATCGCTGCTGCACAAGTGCACCTCTTTCCCACACATTCAACAACTCCACGCCCACCTCCTAATCACCGGCCTTTTCCACTTGCACATTTCCCGCTCAAAGTTCCTCGATTTCTGCGCCACCTCCGTCAACCTCCCCTACGCCGCCGCCGTCTTCCGCTCCGTCCCCCTCCCTCTCACCAACGACTGGAATGCGATCATCCGAGGCCACGCCCAGAGCCACCACCCCATCAATGCCGTCACGTGCTACCTCTCCATGTCACGTGCCCCCTGCAAGCCCGATGCTCTCACGTGCTCCTTCTTCCTCAAGGCCTGCGCCCGCGCCTTGGCCCGAATCGAATCTCTCCAAATGCACTCGCAAGTTCTGAAATCTGGGTTCGACGCAGATGTGTTGCTGCAGACCACATTGCTCGATGTATACGCCAAGTGTGGGGATTTGGACAACAGCTGCAAGCTGTTCGACGAAATGTCCAAGAGGGATATCGCTAGTTGGAACGCTTTGATTTCTGGGCTGGCGCAGGGTAACCGCCCCTACGAAGCTTTGAAGCTGTTCAATAGAATGAGGGAAGGCGGCAATGATGGTCGAGGCCTAATGACACCTAATGAGGTCACTGTTCTTGGCGCTCTCTCAGCCTGCTCTCAGCTCGGTGCAATTAAAGAAGGTGATAAAGTGTACGAATATATTCGTAAAAGTTTCTTGGATGATAATGTGATAGTATGCAATGCTGTTATTGATATGTACGCGAAGTGTGGGGCGGTGGAGAAAGCGTATACCGTGTTTCAGGGCATGAATTGTTCCAAGAGTATAATCACATGGAACACCATGATTATGGGGTTTGCAATGGATGGCAATGGAGTGAAAGCACTTCAACTTTTTAACCGCATGGCATGGCCAATGCCAGATGGTGTCACCTATTTGGCCGCCTTATGCGCGTGTAACCACACGGGATTGGTCGATGAAGGGGTGAGGCTTTTTGAGCTAATGGATAAAAACGGGGTTAGCAAAAACGTGAAGCATTACGGGAGTGTGGTGGACTTGTTGGGAAGAGCAGGGAGATTAGACGAGGCATACAAGATCATAGAATCTATGCCTATGTTTCCAGATGTTGTGCTATGGCAAACTCTCTTAGGTGCCTCCAAAACATACGGTAATGTAGAAATGGCGGAAAAAGCATCAAGAAAGCTCGTTGAAATGGGATCAAGTACTTGCGGGGATTTCGTGTTATTATCGAACGTATATGCTGCACACGAGAGGTGGAATGATGTGGGCAGAGTGAGAGATGCAATGAAGACTAGGGATGTCAAGAAAGTTCCGGGATTTAGCTACACTGAGATGAACGGTGCAATATATCAGTTCTTTAATGGCGATAAAAGCCACCCTCTTTGGAGAGAGATTTATGCGAAATTAGAAGAGATTGGTTTTAGGATTAGGGAATTTGGGTACGAGGCCGAGACTAATTACGTGTTGCATGATATAGGGCATGAAGAGAAGGAGAATGCGTTGTCTCATCATAGTGAGAAATTGGCTGTGGCTTTTGGTTTGATTAGTACCGATGAGAACAGCCCCATAAATGTTAATAAGAATCTTAGGATATGTGGAGATTGCCATGCGGTAATAAAGCTTATTTCGAAGTTGTATAATCGGGAAATTATTGTGAGGGATCGCACTCGGTTTCACAGGTTTAAAGAGGGGTCTTGTTCCTGCAGAGATTATTGGTGACAACCTAACTTTACTTTACCAGTTAGTGTTATTTACCATTTGTATACTAGTGCTATTTGTATTGTTGCCAGGTTTCGGTTTTGTCAGTTGGATTTCCAATTTTATCGACAGCAATTTGTATGCTGGTGACTAAAAACTGATGCTTATACACTGAAATATTTCACCTCCAATTCTGCAAAGGTAAACATTACATATTTCACAACAGATTGTAATTTTACCAGGATGTGAGCAAATCTGCTAACAATAAATAAGATAGATACCACTGAACAAAATCATTGGCCAGTTAATGAATAAATATGACAAATAAACTACACACCCAACGGTCATAACTCGGCACAGAAAAAAAATCTCGAAAAGAAGCCACAATTTTCACTCCCTCTAACATACAAAGGCTTCCAACTAAAGAACCTACGCAACTCTCGCGGGAGTGGCACAAGCAAAAAGTCGACCTGGCACTAGTCCTTTTTCAGCCTCGCCTCAAAACCCCCTTCAGCCCGTTTCACAAGAGTATACGGTACATAAGTCCCGAGCAATTTATCCCATATAGAAAAAAACGGTTGAGAGTAGTTGAATTTCGTGCCTTGGAGCTGATGGTGAATATCGTGATAAGCGGTATTGTTTTGGAAAAACATTTGGAAAATATTACCAGGCAGCCACAGCCCACAATGGTCGTCAACCGTTTTGATAACTGCGAAACAGAAGAAGAAAACGGCAGTTCTTGCAGTCATTCCAGATACGAGAAACGATATAGCCCCACCGAACGTGTCCAATAAAAGGCCTTCGAGTGGGTGATTGTACAATGCCCCTATAGCATAAGGTACAACTAGCCTATGGTGCTGAGAGTGGATGTGTCGGTACAAGAACTTGTTTTGGTGCATGTATCGATGCACAAAGTACTGCCACGTGTCCATTACTAGCATGGCGGTTATGAATTGCAGGGCTTGGATCGGGAGAGAGGGTTGTACTGTGAGCTCGGAAGAGCTACCGTTAGAAGTTACCTGTAAAATGTCAAGTTGTAAAATAACTAAGGAAGTTAAAATAATTAAGTATTGACATTTTCGGTATTACTGGATATAGTTTGTGCAAATTACCGATTGAACATATAATAAATGTTGCTCAAAGCAAGACACCAAAAGTAAAAGTGCAAGAAACGGATTGTAATAAAACTTTTACACGTAGTTTATAAAATTTAGAATCTTGAAGTTGAAAATTGAAAGAATATAAAGTCGGGCGCAAGAAACGTTCGATGAAACTAGTAATAGAGAAAGGGTTTGAAGAGATGTTCACTAAAACTTGTACTAGAAGAAGGGTTTAACAGGGAAACTATTACAATATCGAGATCCTGAAAAAAACAGAAAGTAATCCAAATTTCCATGCCTAACGCAGAATAAACGATCCGTTAAAACATGTTGAATGAGCTTCGAGAAAAAAAAATAAAAAATAAGGTATATGTGGATAGTGCATTTTACCAAGAAGAGCAATTCCGCAACAACGGCTTGAACGAATTGTTGAAGAAGAACACCTTTGACAACAGATCTCAAAGGCACCAAATTTCTATCGTTTTCTTCGGTTTTCGTGTGCAGCCTGTACTTATCTAGAGGAGGGAGTAGCTGATAAAAACCCGCGTACAGCCAGTACACCACTAGTGGGGCAAATGTACCCATCGATTCATCGCTCACATACCCTTCCCAAAACACCATTCTTGAAATTTATTTCGGTTTTTTTTTTCCTCTTCTTCGATAATAATGCTAAACTTACCAGCTTGTTACTTACTACAAGGTGTACAGAGATATAGTACTGCACATCATATCTACCCTGAAAAATAACAAGAAACATGATTATAAGACTAATGCAATCTGAATAAAAGACGAAACGATATAACTTCGTGTATGAAAATCGACACAATGTAGTACATCAGATTCATCTAATCATTCAAATACTAAACAATCAGTTAAAATCCCATCTAGAATTCAAGATCAACACTATGCCTAAGCTGTGAATTGGGACTTTCTACTAATGCACTTCACACACACACACACAAAAGCAAAAAAAAAAAAAAAAAAAACCCACAAAAGAAATCATCAGCTTGTCGAAACAAAAGATGCTGACTAACTACATTGGCATAAATGAAAATAAGCTACGAAAACAAAATTGGGGAAAAAGTTACCGTTAACTAAGATTCAGAGTAGAGCTACATTTGACAAGAAAATCTTGAAAAAGAGAAAAACCCAGATGTGTATTTATGAACAAAGGTAGCAAAGTAATTAAGAGGCTTACAGAGATATGATCGAGTGGAACAGATCAATGGGTTCGGGAAGAAGAAATGGAGATATGTGTTGTGAGATTCTTGGAGGAGAATTACTGGTCTGAATAATGACACAACAAGATTCGTTGTAAAGAAGGAATTGGGGGGGGTGTAATAGTAATAGTGTAGTGTAGTGGTGTGGGGGTGGCAATAAACTAATGTTTATGCGGCTCTTTCTTATTTCCTTATCGAAGATTTTTATAGGGGTTTAATTACTTTACAAACCAAACCTTGTTATTTTGAAACATTTTAAAATGCGCTTACCTGTTATTTTTTAAAATAGTATTTTTTTTTTTTTTGTGTTAGTACAATTTTGTTTAGAATTAATATACCGGAGGTGATAAATGTCGTTTCAATTTTAATAATACTTTATCGACTTTAGATGTGGATTTGATCATGTTTCACTCTGAATCCGACAAAAATGAAAATACAAGTTGGATTCGAAAGTCAACTCGAAAAATTATAAATTTTGTATTTTTTACTTTTACCAAATTCATACTAAAAAAAAAATACTAAAAGGGTAAATTACGGTCACCCCCTGAGGTAATATCAAATTACGAAGAATTATCTCTTGTTTGGGTAATAACAATCACTCTAACTATGAATCTTCTTACATGTCTACTTTTTATGGTGACTAATTCAACATAATCTTCTAGATTCCGTGGCATGTTCTCTAGTTTGTACTCGTGTTGTGCAAAAATGCAGTTTTTGATGCACCACAATCTGATATTTACAAGCCATGAGACACATATTTACAAACTGGAAAATATACCGCATAATCTTGAAGATTCCACTAAATTTGACATCGTTAGGGTGAAAGTGTAAGAAAATTAATAGTTGATGAGTGATTGTAATTACCCAAACACGAGGGGTCTTTTCTTAATTTAACTTACATCTAGGGGTAGCTTGTAATTAACCCTTTTTTTTTTGGTAAAAATAATCGTTAACTTATCCAGCACTCTTTCTTGCTTTAAATTAAAATTTTCAATTAACTATCCATTCATTTTCGCCCAATTATAGATAGTCCTTTTGGATGTTTTTTTGGCCTGTGAAGAAAAGTTGAATACAGTTTGCTTCGGTGACGGAAAAATGTTTCCTCCGGGATTCAGATTCCACCCCACCGACGAGGAGCTCGTTCTTTACTATCTGAAGAGGAAGATCTGCCGTAAACGACACCGTCTTGATGTTATTGGCGAGACTGATGTTTACAAATGGGATCCCGAGGATTTACCTGGTTAGTTTTTGCTTTATTACAATCATTTAGGTTTACTATTTATGATTGTTTTTATTTTCCGGATGTAGTTTATTGCCGGAATTTTATATACTGTGGGATTTTTTTGGGGTAGTAATTTTGTTTTATGTTTTTCCGATTGATTGTTTCCATGGATTTTTTGACTTGTAATTAATGGTTTATTCTTTCAGTTTGTTTGGTGTGTTAATTGATGTAAACCTGTGTTTGATTTCTGGAGTAATTGATTGTTTTTTCCTGATTTTTTGTGAGGAATTTATTGTTGTTTTATGTTTCCTGAATTAGATTTGCTGTATTTTTTCCTTCTAAATCAGTTGTCCTTTAGGAAAAAATGGAGTAATTGTAAATAAATGAGCTGCTACCTGTAATGATTTTCGCCTTTCAGTGCACACAACTAAGTGTAGTGTTAGTTAGCTATGTGGAACAGAATTTTGCAAGGGTTGAATAGCAAAATTGAGTTGTTAATTTACCAATTATATGCCCACCGTTTCGTGTTTTCTTTCTTTTCTCGAATGGCATAATTGTTTTCTAACTCTTCGTACATCTAAATGCAGAGATGTCGAAACTGAAATCCGGTGATAGACAATGGTTCTTCTTTAGTCCTAAAGATAGGAAATATCCAAACGGGGCAAGGTCCAATAGAGGGACAGGCAACGGATACTGGAAAGCAACTGGCAAGGATCGAATTATCTCATGTGGTTCTCGTGCTGTGGGGATAAAAAAGACTTTGGTGTACCATAGAGGCCGCGCACCTAGTGGAATACGCACGGACTGGGTGATGCATGAATACACCATGGAAGAAAAAGAGCTGAAAAGATGCGAGACCGAAGCAACTGAATACTATGTGTTGTGCAAGGTCTACAAGAAGAGTGGGCCCGGCCCGAAAAATGGAGAGCAGTACGGTGCACCGTTTAGGGAGGAGGAATGGGCTGATGATGAAATTGAGCAGGAGAATTCGGTAAAACGGGCTGATGAAATCACACGCGTTGAAGATACCGAAGAAGTTGATCGTGTACATTTGTCCACGTTGAATGTTCTTGAGGGAATCATGAGCCGCGTAGTAGATGATCCCACCCCCGTTGACATTACACAGTTGGGCACAACTCAATTACAGTTCATCGAGGCATGTGAGGTAGCTTCTACTCAAATTGTCAATGGGCGAGATCTTTGTGCCGCTCAAGAGGGTGAGCTTGAAGATTTTCTTGAAATGGATGATTTAATTAGTACAGAACCAACCACACAAAATCTTTGTGAACCGGTGAATAATTTGGATGAGCTGCAGTTTGATGGCTTTGATGGTTTAGATGGATTTGATATGTATCGAGATGCATCCATGTTTCTTGGTGAGGTGGGGTCTGTTCAGTCGGGGCAGATTTCCGGGTTATATATGGATGCTTTTGATGATGGATTTATTAGCCCGATCTCAAGCATGTTCGAAAACAATGTAATGGGAGATTACCAGCCACATCAGCAATCTGACAATGCTAATGTAATTAGCTACACACAAAAGCCGGATGAGCAAAATTGCAGCGCTGCAACTGCTAGTGTTACTGCTGCAGAAGCAGATCAGGGGTGGATTCCTTCATCAACTTCAGGTAATGAAATCTTGTGGAAAATATATCTACGATTTTATCCAATTTCTCATGATGTATTACACAGTAATTGTGTCGACTAATTTCATAGAGCTCTTGCTCATACGGGAAGACCATGTCGTCTTCAAGTGCTTTTCTCGTAACAAATTTTCAAGATTGTTTGCTAACGTTAGAGGGTTTTTGGCATTTTTAGGTGTTTTACATCGAAATCAGAATAATGGATTCGTAAATGATTCTGCCGGAGCAAATGAAATTGGAGGCGGCAAAGAGGATGACGGTACAGAGTCGTGGTTCTCCTCAGCTCTGTGGTCGTTTGTGGAGTCTATACCAACAACTCCCGCTTCAGCTTCCGAAATTGCTTCTGTAAATAGGGCTTTCGAAAGAATGTCTAGCTTCAATAGGATAAGAACTAATGCCACAAACACGAATGTTGCTGCAGGTAACTACACCTCTGCAACCTCGGTCAAAAAATCTAGATGTGGGTTTTTATTTTTTTCGTTACTTGGAGTAATGTGTGCTGTATTGTGGGTGCTGATTGGAGCCTCTGTGAGGGTGATGAGCTTGTATTTGTAGCTAGCAGCACTCGTTTGTATATATTATATTTAAATAAATCGAGTTTTGCTATGTAGCCAGTTTTGGAAATGTGGGTATTGTAAATAAAAAAAAGATCGTACATCGGTTTCTTAGATTAGAGGTGCGTTCTTGATTACGAATTCGAGAGCTGTTTATGTTGGAGGGTGAGTGATCGAACGATGTGGTTGTCGATTTGGAGGTTCGTTGTGTTTTTTTTTTTTAATTCACTAGTTTGAAAACATGTATGTAGAGCAAGGCTTAATTGATGATTGTACAAAGAGGATTTTGAATTATTGGATTATGATGCATGGTTTTGAAGTTTCCCTCTGGAATGAGGCCAAAAAACAAAATGTGTAAGGATTCTTTGACCAAAAACAAAAAGTAAATAATGTAGAAGGATTCTAAAATAAATCATCATATATTCAAATTGGTTACTTCAACCCTACACTCGATGATAAACACCAGGTGGGTCTTCTGCTGTCACGTGTTTTTTTTTTCTTTTTTTTTTTCTAAAACCCCAAAAGGTAAACTTTAGCGGGGAATTATATTATAAAATATAAAAATAGACACGTGACAGCTGAAAACACACCACCCGTTTTTCACTAGTGTAAGGTCGAAGAAGTCATTCAAATTGGTACAATTGATTTATCGGAATTGGAAGTGTATAAAACAATCAAATATATTTCACTATTTTCGGATTTGGAATTGAAGTTAATTTTTCGGTTCCGACAGAATTTAAATTTTACAAAAGTATACATCAAATTTTCATAATTTTTCTTTTCGGATTACCATAATATTAAGAAGTGAAAAAATATATTGAACGCATGACAAAAATATTCGTAAAATAAATGGAAAAGGGTGAAAAAAACCCAACGTCAGTCAACAGTTATAAAGTCAAAGGCTCCCCACTGAAAGTTCAGTGCACTTCACTCACAGCGAATCCGAACCCCTTGGGTTTCCGAGAAATTTCGGGTACCTATTAAATCAATGAATTTCTTATTTGACCAAAAATCACGTTTCCTTCTCCACCACTCTTCCTTCCCATCTTCCTTGATTGTTTTTTCTGCTTAGGTTTTTCGCACTGAATATTCCAGATTCATTTTTTTTTTCCGATTATTCTCTGGTGAAAAAATGAAGGTGGATACGAACTGTTTCTCGGAGGGGAATAATTTTCCGCCGGGATTCAGATTCCACCCCACCGACGAGGAGCTCGTGCTTTACTATCTGAAGAAGAAGATCTGCCGTCAACGGCACCTTCTAAATGTGATCGGCGAGACCGATGTTTACAAGTGGGATCCCGAGGAGTTGCCCGGTGAGTTTTATCTCTCAATTTTATTTATTTATTATTATTGGTTTCATTATCACTGTTTTTAGTTCGTTTTATTTAATTGCTGTGTGTATCTAATCGTTGGTAAGATTTTTGATTTTTTGTTCGATTGATTTTTCCTTTTATGGGGTTTTTGACTTTTTGTTTATGGGTTTTGTTGGTTATAATTTTTTTAGCATGTTCCAGATTTCTATTTAATTTGGCTTGTGGCTGTAATTGAAGTCAACGCAGATGAGTGGTTGATTGGTTTTTTCTGCTATTCTATTAGGGTTTATTGTTTGTTAATTTATGTTTCCAGTATTCGAATCGTCTAATCTTCTGCTGAATACAATTGAATGGATGATAAATTTATTGGGGGGCTAGTGTGTGTGTGATATTATCCTATTGCTCTATGCCCATTTTTCATGTGTGTGAAGCTTTTTTGCAGTTTATCTTTTCGTGTAATTTTCTGACTTTGGATATGCAAAATGCAGATATATCGAAGCTGAAAACTGGTGACAGGCAATGGTTCTTCTTCAGTCCTAGAGATAGGAAATATCCAAATGGAGCAAGGTCAAATCGGGCAACTAGGCATGGATATTGGAAAGCAACTGGGAAAGACCGTGTCATCTCATGTAATTCTCGTGCCGTCGGTTTAAAGAAGACTCTAGTATTCTATAGAGGCCGTGCGCCTAGCGGAGAGCGCACGGACTGGGTGATGCATGAATACACCATGGATGAGGAGGAGCTGAAAAGATGCCGTAATGCAAAGGAATATTATGCGCTGTACAAGGTGTTCAAGAAGAGTGGGCCCGGCCCGAAAAACGGGGAGCAATATGGTGCACCGTTCAGGGAAGAAGACTGGGTTGATGATGATGAACCTGTAAAGCCAGCTAAAGAAGTTGTCCCTATCGAGAATAATGCTAAACCAGTTGACTCTCAAAATCATTCCTTATTTGACGATCTTGAGAGATTCTTGAATCAAGTAGCAGATGACGAGCCCGTACCTAATCAGCCACTAGGTTTTGATTTTGACTATGAGGAGGAATCTCGGAGTACGTTAGTCGACCATTCTTCTCGGGGTGTGGATTTAACAGTATTCCAACGGTTTACACAGCAACCTAGTTTACATGGTAGTTTTGACATGACTCAGTCGGGCACAACGCAGTTACAGTTGTGTGAGGCGCCTGAGGTTTCTTCTTCTGCTCCGGTCAACAATTTGCAAAATATTTATGTCACTGAAGAGGATCTTCTTGACGATTTTCTTGAAATGGACGATTTAAATGGTGGAGATTTAAACAATCAGAATCTTGATAATCAGGCGAATTTCGAGAATCTGCAGTTTAACGAATTTGATGGTTTGACTGAGTTTGATCTGTACGAAGACGCGCCCTCTTTCCTTTGTGAGGTGGGGCCGGGGCACATTTCTCAACCTTACATGGATAATTTCGAAAATGGAATTATGAACCCAATATCGAGCTCTCAGTTGAACCATCTCGAGAATACAATTACAACAGAAGATTACCTACTGCAGCAACAATATACCAATGCAGATGGAATAATAAACTATCAGATGTGGACAGATGAGCTAAATTACAGTGCTGTAACTCCAGGACAAACAAATCAGGGTCCTTCATCAACTTCAGGTACCGAAATTCAGTGGGATTATTCCCGGTGAAGCCAAATATTGAACTGCTATAATTTTGTATATATGACTTGATATCCAATTTCTCATGATATGTATCACTTGTGTCGATTATTCTCTTCGTTGATTAATCTCATTGGAGATCTTGATCAGATGGATGGTATGGGAAGACCATTTCATCTTCAAGGTGGTGAAAACTCTCGTGACCCAAGTGAAAATGGGGGAGTTTGAGCCACAGCTTCAAGAGCTCTTCTTCTAACGAATTATATATGTTATTGTTTACAAATGTGATAGAGGGTCTTTTTTTTCTCGCATTTTTAGGTGTTTTAAATCAAAATCAGAATAATGGTTTTGTAAATGATTATGCCGGAGAAAATGAAAATGGAGGCGGCAAAGGGGATGATGGTACAGAGTCGTGGTTCTCCTCGGCTTTGTGGTCATTTGTGGAGTCTATACCGACAACACCTGCTTCGGCTTCGGAAAGTGCTTTGGTAAATAGGGCCTTCGAAAGAGTGTCGAGTTTCAGTAGGGTAAGATTAAATGTCAGAAACACGAATGCTGCTGCAGGTAATGCAACTGCTAATTCGAGAAGTTTGGGCAACTCTAGGAATGGCTTTATCTTTTTCTTATTGTCTTTATTTGGAATTTTGTGTGCTGTATTATGGGTAGTGATTGGACCCTCTGTGAGATTGCTGGGTTGACAGTATTGTACTTAATAGTTAATATTCAAATGGGAAGTTTTGCACCAGTGCCTTTTGCCTGAAGTTATTTCAGGCAATTTTTTTCCCGTACGTACGTATGTATAACTTGTAAGCTGATTTATGATGAATCCGACTTCTCTTTTTACGGGTAAAAGAAGCTAATGATGAATGTTAAACAGCAATACATATGATTAGTCACTGAAAAACAGTAGATTCCAGAATATATACTTTAATAGAGTCGACACAATATATATTGTAAATACAAATTTATTACTCAGTATGGTTTAGTGCATTTTATCTTTATTTTCACCTGTATGCACTATTTTTTACATGGAGATTATGTATGTGGTATTTCTTTTTTATTTATCACCTTCATATTGGCGAATGGAGACTAATGAAGCAGCTTCTGCTCGACTCCTCTTAGATAGATGATACCCAGGAAATGATCCAAAACAGAGTAGTAGAAACTATTTATAGGAAAGCCCGTCTTACTGTCCTGGCAAAAACACGAGAAACCAATTTTCCAGCCAAATCTGCTGGCAATCTCAATAACTGTTGCTGTAAATCCTGAGGAAGCTGAAAAAAATTTGAATTATATCAAGAAAGATTACTCGTATGCAGTTATGGCCTAAACTTGGGTATAAAATAAAGTTAAAATCACCCAAATTTATAATGTGCATCGAGTAATGCAGATCGAATAGGATAGGGCTTCATGCCGTATTTAAGTTGTAAAGATCCGATGAAAATGTGATGTTTCAATTGTTACCTCAGAGATCACGGACAGCATTTCTTGACCAGATATCAGTGCTGCTTCATTTGAATATGGTTTCTGTATGGCCACTGAGCTTCCTTTTACTTCCTGGTACAAGGAAATTAACAATTTATCCGGCATTTCATACAAAGTATTTTCTTTTTCGTAAAATTTTGCTATCATTGATTAAGAAGCTTGAGCACAGCTCTTATCTTTGGACTTGGAGCAAAAATAATCTTATTCATTGAACAAGTTTCAAATAGAACAGTCATCCTTAATGATGGTCTATTCTCTTACCGTTACAGAAGTTTCAGTCTGTTGAAGCCTTGAAAGTAATAGCACGAGGCTTTGCAGCGTCCTCAGATTGGTGATATCTTCAGTAGTCATAGAAGAAGAAGAATATGGTCTGAAGGGTAGGTTTGCCGTCATTGCAGATATCATTGAATCCAAGGTCGCCAGTCCAAGTGCGTCCAAACCCTATTATCACTTAGAAGGAAAATATTAAGTATCCATGACAATCACGAAAACGTAGGTCATCTAAGCATGATTCTAGGAAAAAGTTTGTGGCAGCTTATCGACCGAAAATGTTACCTTTGCAACTTCCTCAAGAAGTATTTCTCTCACAGATGCACCCTGCACAAATGTTTGAGGTTACTATTTAATCTAGGTACTCCATTCTGCCTAACCGATGAGATGAGATACAAGTTATAATACCTTCTCATTCAAAGCAAGGGACAGAACTTGTTTAATAACCATCTTAGATTCGTCTTCTACCTGCTTTTTGACCACTGTTCTGTCTGTCCTGGCACGTAACGACTGTATCAAGGAAAATCCTTTTATCAGAAAGAAGTCGGATAGTGGAAATGAAAAGACATTTAGTAAAAAATGAATTTTTGTACATCAAAATCCATGAAGTGAGAATGAACAGTAACATAGCAGGCTAGTATAGAGGTGAGAGAGAGGATAACGAGTGTAAATTCAATTTTTGTGAACTCCTGCTTAAACAGAATGACATAGAGAAAATATGCACATATTTATAAAGATATATTTCTTACCTCTGTTAAGAGAGACTCTAACCGGTCAATCCTGAATACACCATCCTAGATTAAAAGCTTGAAATCAGTATTCTTGATGTTATTAAAAACAACTGCCGGGCAAAAAGTGGTTAAATGCAATAAGCTCTGGAAAAAAAAAATTCAAGTATCCTTTCCGTGTATGGCGTACCTTGTAAAGAAGGGTTTGCAAAGATGATTGCAACTTGGGTGAGCTATCAGTAAGCACCTTTCGGGCAATCCAAGGGTATGTACTGCCCAAAACTTTGTAATTTGGGTTGGAGCCGATGGCAATTCCCTCCAAAACAGCTAGACTGGACGGACCAGAAAATTTATCTTATCAAAGTGTTATATAGATTCTACGGTAACAAGAAGGAACAAAGTTTAGAGTAAACCGCAAATATGACAAAATAACAAATTCACCTTCTTATGACAAGAGAAAAATAAGATGGAAGTCTGAATTTGAATTTATACCTGCAGACATTAGAAAAGATAATTTAATAACTGTGAGATTAAAAACCAATCAAATGCCACAAAGACGCCAGTATATGTCTGTCGGTGTGACTATATCGCCAATAGTTTGCCCTATAATGACAATTCTACATCAATGAGCCAAAAAGTTGCAAAATATTTAGAATTAGAAAAAAATGGAGATACTCAATAGAAGGTAATGATATCAGTAAAACTAGTACATGGTGGTTCCCAAATTTCCAAGAAGTTGCCCGAAGCTTATATTGCTAACTCCTCTGATAACAGCATTTCGAAAGACATCTGCATGTTATTTCATATTAGAAAAACTACGTGCGCTGGTTCGTATACCAAGGCTAAGCAATGAAATTCAATGAACACCTGTTAGTGCCTTTGTAACAGCTTCCCTGTCAGCTGTTGCTGGAAGAAGCCTGTCACGTGAAGTTTCACAGTCTTTAATCTATCTTAAATAACAATCACTGTATCAGCTGAATATAGAGAAAGTTAGTCAAGCTACCCAAGGGTTACAAAGTCTTCTGCAAGTGCATCATAATCGCGATTTACAAGGTGGAGACAAGCTTCAATGAAGCCCTCACGGAGTTCTTCTTTGAATTCACCCATCATGCCGAAGTCTGAGGATTAAAATGTGCCTTTCAGAAACTGATGATATGTGGTGGAATTCAAATGCAATATTAATCGTGTACATATTTGATCAATATAAGTAGTGTACCTAAGTAGGCTAGTTTCCCGTCATAGGTGCGAAGTAGGTTTCCGGGATGTGGATCAGCGTGATAGAATCCAGACTCTAGAAGTTGATTGAATGAGCAGTAAACTCCCACCTGTTGGCCATTAATCAAGTACCATCATTATATTAACTTTCTTTTACATAAATAGCATACTATATTTAGTTTCAAGAGTTGACCTCAATCAGGTATAGATCCTTCACTTCTGCCAGCTTTTGGCCCTGCATTCATTCAATATGAGTCACAGGCATACGCATTTAATAATAAAATTTTCACTTTGGCAATATGATATTCTAAACATGCAATAATCTGATCAAGAAAAAGACTTAAGTAGGTAGTTTCGAGTTTCAAATTACTGTAGGAAAATGGTACTAAAAAACAAATAAAAAATTACCTCAATCCACTGCATGGTTAGAACTTTGCGAGTTGTTTGCTCGACATACATTTCAGGAACTACAACATCTTTTATGCTGCCATATAACTGTCTGATTGAGTAGCAACAGTTAAAAATTGGGATTGAAGATCCATCTTCTCATTATAGACAATAGTCGGAGCAGAGTTATAAGAAATGTTTGGACCAATCAACTGACTCTAAAAACATACTGATTAAGGATCAGAACTGTACTAATTTTATTTCTTTACACGGATTTGTCGACTATATGAATCTGATAGATTCCTTAGAACACAGAACTTCGTCAGCTAGCGGTAAAACACCTTAAACAAGTATGGCTAAGGGTCCCAGTATTATCATACAGTTGTCGTGGACTCAGCCGATCTAAACAAACTTTAAAATGAAATGATGGCTTTTGGTGTTATGATTCTCAGCATCTTCCAATTTTACAAACACTACATTTTCGTTTGAAGTTTTATTTGCATAATGTGAAGAAAAAAAACTGCCAGGTCTATTCCAAACCCAACCTAGACACAGACTTATTAAACGGTACTAGAGACAGTGGCAGAGAAATGGCTTACTTGAACTTAATTCCGTTGTCTGCTTCACCCTTGTAATCCATCTCCTGCATTCAATTGGATTACCTGTATTCAATACGAAGCACTAAGAAAATTCCTGATGCAGTGTATACAATTTATAACTATTCCTCATGCTTTACCCAGAAAAGTAGTCTTAGTTAAATATATTAACAGCAATAAATTAACACAGTAAGTCCAGAACTTCAGTTATGGTAATATATTTTCCCTACATAAGGGAAACTCTATCCAAAGTAGTTGATCGACTCAATGAACTCCAAAGTAATGTAAATTAACATGAAATTATACCCCAGCATGTATGTGCTCTAGCATATACCTCTATTTTCCCATTCAGAAATTCAATATCTAAAGGAGCATCAAAATTCTGCAATGAAGTGGTAAAAGGAGTTAAATACCCGGAAAAGGCTTGATGCCCATTCGTCAACGACTGACTGCAAGTTGATGACAATGTGTTAGTCTGGTTTAATCAGCTAAAAAGAAAAGATCTAAGAGGGAGAAATGTTACATCCACACCTTACATAAGAGGAAGGCATTTAATAAAAAGTTGAAAATTGCAAAACTACGTTCCAACATTTCAAGTAACAGAGAATTACATGGCATTTCAAGGGCTGGTATTCAAAGCCAAGCAATGTAATACGAAGAAAATCATTTCCTGTAGTACCTGGAGGTCAGTGTTCAATTTTCCTACTATCCTTATCACCCCTGCCAGGTAACGCAAGATAAGTATATCCAACGACATTGCGGCTCTAACTCCAGGCCTCTGCACTTTTACAGCAACAACCTTCCCATTGGAGCGAAGCCTAGCTTTATAAACCTTTACCAAATGTCATAATAGTTTATGAATAATATTGGTCATACTCAATTAATATCTAAAATATTTTCTACAAAAAACACCATGATAAGAACCACTTCCAAATTACATTAAAAGCATAAATGCAAGACTGACCTGTCCAAGTGATGCTGCTGCAACAGGCTCAGGTGAGATTTCTGAGAAAATTGCATTTATCGGCAATCCAAGTTCTTGCTCTATTGTATCAAAAGCAACTTTTGTGGAAAATGGTGCAATTCTATCTTGCAAAAGTGAAAGCTCGTCCAAGTACGAGGGTGGTATCAAATCCTGTAAGAAACAGATTTTGAAGGAACATTTATTACTAGCTAGGGTGTACTACACGTTACATCAACATTTATTCTCAAATCTAAAGAAATACAAGGTAAGACCACAACATTTAAACCCAAACTATTTAACGCATACAGAACTTACAGGTCGTGATGAAATAGCCTGAGCTATCTTAACATAAGCCTACAGAAAAAAGGGGGAAAATATGTCAATAAATTAATCGACATCATTTAAATAGAAATCTTAAAGATAAAACGGAACAAATAAATTTAAAAAGTGAAAAGTAACATAAGAGTGCCTACATGTCCATCCATCACAAACATACAATTTTCTGTGATATCATGATAGATGCTATGGAACAAGACAAATGAAAAATGAAAAATCGATATAATACATCTGAATAGAAGGAGTACCGGACCAAGTTGCACTAATATCTTCCTCAGTTCAGCAGCTCTAACCTACAACCAAAATGAAGAACAGGAATGCAACAGACGAGTATAAGTCTAAATATGAAAAACATATATAGCTTCTGTTTTTATGAAAAATAAACTGCCTCGAATTATAAGCATATCATCTTGTTTGCTCCAAAAAACCTGATCGGGGTTGATATGCCAAAAATCTGGAAATTGTGGTGAATGTCTAAACAAAATTTTCAGAGGCCCGAGTAATACGCTAATCACTAACTAATCGAGTTCAGAAAAATACCACAATAAGACTTCCTTTTCTAGAGTAAAATTGCCAAAAACACTATCAGATGGTGATATCAAAATCAACGACAAATTAGTGTTTTAACAACCACTGCTTCAAATTACCCAAAACTAAAAATCAAAATCAACAATCAGTCTGGACGAATACTGACACCGTCGGATGAACTAGAACCAGGAAGGGATTCCGCCATACTGATATGCCTAATTTGGCACTATATTTACAAACAATGAAAATCAATTGAATTTCAAAAGCATTAAATACAGCAGTCAACAAGCAAAATTACAAAAATAGCACTCAATCTACAAAATAGACGGTTCAATTTCACAATTCTGACCTGGAACATCAAATCTGAGCGCTCGGTGATGCGGTCGTAATACCGGAAGGCGAACCACTTGCCGAGAGTGGTGGATATTTGGAATAGCCGGCGGAGGAGAATGAAAGGTTTTCTCCGATATATAGCCGCGATTCTCGATACGTTATATTCCGTCAAGGATTCGGCTTCCGATGAGCTCAGGTCGAAGAGGTACCCGGAGGACTGCGTGAACGCGTCCACTTCATTAGACGCGGCCAGAAGGCGTTGCGGAAGAATACTCGGCCGCCAGCGAGGGTTGGGGGTGAAATTGGCGGGGCGAAACAGTGGCGGTGATGGAGGCGGGAAGAGCAGCATTGTTTGGAAAATGAATTGAATGTGATTGGGTTGCTTATTGGCCTCTCTTTTGGTGTTTGTATTATCCGAATTTGTTTCATTCGAAATCTATTTATGGTTTTTGTGTGTGGGCTATTTCCACGTAGCCGTGTTGAAATTATGAACTTACTAGATTAGTTTAAATGGGATTCTAGTTTCGGTTTAACCAATTTTTGGATGCAACAATTGCATGACTTACAAATTAACATAATCTTAAACTATATACAAATAATTGATTTTGAATTTACGAATTTTAGCTTCTAAATCCCTTTTGCCTAGTTTTATTTACGTTTCCGTCTTCAATACTCTGCTTTGAAAATTGCACTTCTTTTTTAGTTTCGTCTATAATTAGCTCTCTATATACCAAAATGTATGGAATGCCATTCCTTAATTGATTTTGTAACTTCTTTTTTTTTTTTGGCAAAACTCACCCCAATAAAATATTAAACATCTCAATATATAATTATGAGTTTTTTCTTGCAAAACTCATCCCGTAAAATCTCAAATTGCCAAAAACTTGTTCATTCGGGGAAATAAGACCACTAATCTGTTTTTACCCTTCTCATATACAAATTCATTTGATTGTGGAGAGGGTTTTTTTTTACAATGGATGTTGAACCTTGATAAATATATGATCCGATTCGAGCATGTTTACGAGGCGCCCAAACTGAGTTGAGCATTAAAATGGAAAAATAAAATGTTCAAAATTTCTAGTATAGTATTGATGACTGAATCATAGACGAAACCAGACAAAAGAAAATTACGAGCTAAAACCCCTCAGAATGTATATATATATATATTCTTTTTTATCTCCAACACAAAGTGAAATGGGTTATGAATTTAAGCCCAAGCTTTAAAGCCCATATAAAGTAATTTTACTACTTGCATCATACCCAAAATAATTCACATGACATACTAATTAATTAATTAATTATACATCCACGTCAAACAAATATAAACAAAAACCCAAGGAAAAAAAATTAAATAAATAAAAACGCTAATTAGATTTAAGCGACATCTATATATCTAACATTCTTGGGCTGATCCTGCTGCACTTCCTTCTTGGGCACCTCCACCGTAAGCACTCCGTGTTCCAACCCACACGCTATCCCGTCCAGATTAGCATTTTCCGGCAAACGGAACCTCCGGGAGAAGCTCCCACGGCGGCGCTCCACCCTGTGCCACTTGTCATTCTCTTCCTCCTTCTCCACGACCCTTTCTCCACTTATCTGCAGTATGTTGCTATCTTCCACCTGCACCTTCAGATCTTCTTTCTTCACTCCTGCCATGATTGAACGAACGGCTCAGATTTGTTAGGATTAATCTCACAAGCATGCATCCATCGGAGATGAAGGCACACAACCCTACTGTACACCCCACCGCTGTTATTTCTAATTTCTCCTTTTAAATATATATATATATACACACACACACACACACTAGATCAAAGAGAGAAAAGTATATGAACCGGGAAGATCAACGCGGAAGATGTGGGCCCTGTCGGTTTCACGCCAATCCACGTTGGCATGGGCCATGGCGGCCACGTCTTCTCGCCGGTCGCCGCCGCCTCTGGTGATGGCACCGCCGTATTCATCCCATGCATCAGAAGAAAACGGGGTCGTGAAGAAGGGAGTTCCGCCGCCGCCGCCGCCCCACGGTCCAAGAGAAGTCATGTTGTGTACCCGTATGACGATGTACTTGATTATTACAGGTTGAGGATTTATACAAGAGCTATATATATATGTAATATAAATATTTGTTGCATGGATATATAAAAGCCACGTGTGTGATGAGAGGGACACTCTACTCTTAGTTTTGGCCACGTAGATAGCATATTTCCAGGTGGCATCGTTGAATTGTATATTATATATATACTTATAATATTTATATTCATGAGGAGACAAATTAAAGTAGAAAAAGACAAAATGTAACCTGTTACTACTGTTTTAATCTTTATCCACAAGCATAAGTACGTCCAATATTCGATTTTAATTTTGTTGCAGACTATTTTAATTTATTTATATTTAAAATTAAAAAACAAGTATTTAATTTGTATTTTCATGTGATAGTCATAGGCCCTTTTCTTAATGGGCTTTTATTTCACTCTGTAAGGTTTAAATTTTGCTGTTGGAACAAACTGGCCCAGCTCACGCATTAATCCACAATTTAGGATTAATCTTAATTATGGGGATAGTTTCATATTAATTAAATAAAAATGTTTGTTTTAAAATTGGTTACGTTACCAAACAGTCATTCTCTGTGAAAAAATATTTGTTATCATTCCGCACGCGAGAATATTTAATATTAAAAATGAAAATAAAAAAAGTAATTATTTTATTTCAATTATTGTTGCATCTTTGACATTTGTTTAAAATCTAAACTCGAAACGACGACGTTTTATACGACTCAAAAAGGCAAAAACCTAATCCACAAATGATTGCCACTTCTTTGCTACATAAAATGAAGGGTAAATTACACCCACAGCCCTGTGGTGTGCTTAAATAATTTTAAGGTCTCTATGGTATCGATAATTCCACCCACCCTCCTTAAACGTAGTTAGAAACTCTAACGGGATAATACATTGGATACATTATTCCGATAGGGTTCTAATGGACTATTACTTTTAGCTAGCGGTGGAGATAAAATAGAGTTATGGGGAGTTATGGGGTGACATGGCTCACCCAATATTTCTTAAATCACTCATAACTCTTTGTTGTCTCCACCACTTCCTGAAACCAATAGTCCGTTAGAACTCTATCGTAATTACGTATCCAATGCATTATCACATTTGAGTTAATAACTACGTTTCAAGGGGGGTGAATGTAATTATCGATACTAAAGGGACCTTAAAGTTATTTAAGCATACCTCAGGGGTGTGGGTGTAATTTACCATAAAATGAATTTCCTAAAATTCGGGACTCATTTCATTACCACTGGAACAAACAAATCTTTACTCTCTCTCTCACACACACACAGACCGATTGCAATTTACGCCCTTCTTCTTCAACAATCCTCACTCCTCACCTACTCCGGCGCCACTCTCTGAAACAAGAACACCAAAATAATGGCAGCGCAGCCGATCAAATTCGGAATCGTGGGATGCGCCGACATAGCGCGCAAGGTCTCACGGGCGATAACCCTCTCCCCAAACTCCACCCTCTACGCCGTCGCGAGCCGAACCCACGAGAAGGCGGCCAAATTCGCCAAGGAAAACGGGTTCCCCGATTCGGCCAAGATATACGGGTCGTACGAGGCCCTACTGGACGACCCGGAAGTTGACGCCGTCTACCTGCCGTTACCCACGAGCCTGCACATCAAATGGGCCGTGCTCGCCGCCCAGAAGAAGAAGCACCTGCTCTTGGAGAAGCCCGTCGCCCTGAACGTCGGAGAGTTCGACGTGATTCTCGAGGCGTGCGAATCCAGTGGGGTGCAGATCATGGACGCTACCATGTGGATGCACCATCCCAGAACTGCTAAGATGAAGGAGTTTCTCTTAGATTCCTCACGATTTGGCGATCTCAAAACTGTACGGCTCCATTTTACTGTCTGTTTTTTCTGTTTGTGTGGTTTTGTTTGTTAGATTTTGGTATGAAATTAGATTAAGAAGAATGTTAGTGTTCCTAAGGTTTCTTGAATTAAATTGGATAAAATTAGTGGTGGTACAGATTAAGTTGCAAAGGTTTTGATTTTAATTACAGAGTGGTATTAATTACTTGTGTGCAGTAATTAGGTTTTTCTTTAGGGAACACAATGGTGTTGATTGATGGTGTTTGTGATTGTTTCTTGAAATCAGACATGGTGTTATTCATGGTTGGATTTGGGGAAATGGTGGTATGGTTGAATTTGTCGTTAGTAGTTATATGTTTGATGAGTTTCTCGAGAAAAAAAAGAGCATTATTGGATTTTGGGAAATGGTGGCACGGTTGAATTTGTCGTTAGTAGTTATATGTTCGATGAGTTTCTCGGGAAAAAAAAAAACGAGCATTTTTGGATTCGTTAGTGGAAAGAATAGATCAGAGAGGACCGATTCCTCTGTTTTTCCGTATATTTTGCTTTGTGACTTAACCCTTGATAGCTATGAATTATTTGACGGGTCGATTCACTGTGAAACCGAAAAAATTAAGCAAACCCTTGTTGTTCTTCAGGTGCATACCTGCTTCACATTTGCAGCAGATAAGAACTTTCTAGAAACCGACATTCGTGTAAAGCCAGATCTCGATGCCCTCGGTGCACTAGGCGATGTAGGGTGGTACTGCACGAGATCAATCTTGTGGGCAGCCGATTTCGAGCTGCCCAAATCAGTAGTCGCACTGCACGGAACTGTATACAACACCTCGGGAGTCATCTTAGCCTGCAGTGCTTCTCTACAGTGGGGAGACGGAAAGACGGCCACCTTCCACTGTTCTTTCTTATCCAACTTAACAATGGACATGGCTGTTGTCGGAACAAACGGCACTCTGAGATTCCACGACTTTGTGATCCCGTTCGAGGAGAACAAGGCCTCGTTCGGGACGGCTGTCAAGTCAGGATTCACCGAGCTCGTTACTGGGTGGGAACCGAAGCCGAGCGAGCACATTGTTACGACGGAGCTTCCTCAAGAAGCTCTTATGGTGAGTGAGTTTTCGAGGCTGGTTGGGTGTGTGAAATTTGAGGGGGCGAAACCCGAGAAGAAGTGGCCGATGTATAGTAGGAAGACACAGCTTGTTTTGGATGCGGTTAAGGTTTCGATCGAGAAGGGTTATCAAAGTGTTGAGATCGTTGAGTAATTAGGTATTATTGATCTTTTTTGTTGTCTTTGCAAGGGAATTTGTGTCTGTTGTTTATGTGTAATAAGATGCATTGCTTCGAATTAATCGATTGAATTGTTTTCGTATTGCATGGATACGGTCTTTTGTGGAATAAAACGACACTTTGATATGTGAATAAATGTGTTGTCTTTTTTTGTTAGTTTGGCTTTCGAGTTGCTCTTACGATGATCTTGGTTCAGTTTTACTTGATTTTTGTATCCCCGTTCGACGAGAACAAAGCTTTGATTGTCACGGCTGTAGCAACGGGGTACAATGACAATGACCTCGTGGAAGGGGTGGGATCCAATACCGAGGGAGCACACTGTTGTTACGGAGCTCCCTCGGGAAGCTCTAATATTGGTGAGTGAGTTGTGGGGCCGGCGCTTAGCTGGAAAACGAAGATTGTTATATATATCGATGCGGTTAAGGCCGTCGATTGAGAGAGGCTATCAGAGTGTTGACGTCACTAAGTGATTTCTGTTAATTAAGTTAACTTTCTGTCAAGATTCTTAACTATTTACAGCCCAGAATTTTCTGAGTCTTGTTAGAAAGATAATAATCTCTGTCTCTCATACAAAAAAGTGCAGTTTTATTAACAGATATATAAAAAGTTTAATTTATTATGAAAAGTGATTTTGACATGTGGATAATCTTTTTGGAAAATTCTGCAGCAGCCCTAAAAGGAACGGAATTCCATGCATGCATGCATGCTTCTTTTTGACAAACGACCACTGAAAACAACAATTGCCGAATCAGCCTAGGTACGATGTTCTTCTCCATTCACTTTATTATTGTCCTCTTGTATATATATTCTATTTCTATATATAAACAAACATTTTTGGCTAGCTGAGCTGGCAATCACTGACCTTCACATTATATCATTACATATATGTAATTAATATTTATATTATATATTTAAATTAAAAACTTATTTCAAACCCACAGAAAACTTTTATTCATTTTGAATATATTTATTGAGTAATGTGGTAATTTCCACATCCATGGTTCAACTCGATCACAATAATATGACCCCACGTGCTAATCAAGTGTACACCAAAAAAACATTAAAACATTTATTGCTACAAAAATAAATCCCCAAAAATCAAAGAATATTTTGGAGGACAGACAGGCAAACCAAATCGACTTGAAGAATATTATTATTTTATTGTATTACACAACAGACAGAATATTTATTTGGACTCGTGATCATATAGTGATTGATTATGTTCTCAGATCATCCCTCAAGCGTAGTATTATATTCTCGTACTTGCGAGATAATATAATACACCATTGTTGATTGGTCCACGTGGACTGGAAGCTGCGTAAGTCATCATTATATGAAAAGGATTAATTAATTAACACCGTGGCAAATCGGACGGTGGTGGCAGCAACCGCTCCTCCGGCCTTTTCCCGTTTTTAACTATGAACACCATTCCCATTCCCCAGCTCACGTGCCTCTCGAAATGGCAATGCATAAACCAAACCCCTACAAAAACCATTATTTAATTAATTAATTAATTAATTTTATAATTTCCATTTAATTAATGATAATTTAATTTAAAAAAAAAAAAAAAAAAACCTGGATTATTGGCCTTGAATCTGATAGCAGTCCATCCATTTACGGGGACAGCAATAGTTTCCATGAGAGGTGGGTCCACAAGGTTGTAATTTAGTGGGTCCCTTCTTCTGTTGAAGTTACCCAAACCCGACCCGACAACGTAGAAGCTGTACCCGTGTAAGTGCATCGGGTGATCTATACCCCCAACCGTATTCGTACCCTGAAAAACAAGCTCCACATTCGAATTGTACTTGAGCACATTAACCGCCGTCCCATTCTCCGGCCGCCACAGATCTATGGGCACAAACTGCTGTGTGTAATTAAATCGGAAAGGGGGATTATCGGGGAAATCGGTCTCGTAAACTCCGGCGCCCATTCCGCTGTAATACGCCTGGAGAATCGCGGTTTTCGGGAGCACCATGGTCACGTTGTTCACGCTCGCCAGAAACCTCTCCTGGCGCGGGCCGTCGCAAACGGTGTCGTTCGGGCAGGGCCGGAGGTTGATCGAGAGCGTGAAGTACAGCGTCTCCGTTATGTTTAACGGCACGTCGATTGGGTACTTTGTGTTCGCGAGGCTCCGGAGGCGGTTGGTGAAATTGACCGACGACGTCGTGTCGTTGAATTGGGGGAGGGTGGGGAGAGCCGGCGACGGCGGCGCGGTGTAGTTCCCGGCGTACACGAGCATTCCGGTGGTGGTGGTGTTGTCGAAGAATCCGGCGCTGGCGTAAACCCTAGAGGCCATGTAGTAGTGGCTGGGGGGCTGGTCGGCGGTCAGAAGAAAGTCAATGGTTTGACCGGGGGAGATCGTGATGTAGTCGCTGGTGAGCGGCTTCGTGTAGGCGGCGTCGGTTCCCACGACGGTGATGCTGTGGTTGGCGATCCTGAAGAACATGATGTTGTTCATAACGGCGTTCACCATTCTTATCAGGTACGTTTTCCCGAACTCCACGCTCAGCTTGAATGCATCTGCAATTAAATATTTTTTATTTAATAAAATCATTAAATTATGTTATTTAATTCAAAATTAAGAAAAAAATAAAAATAAATAAATAAATAAAATACCTTGTGTTGAGTTGGAGCATGAATATAAATCACCAGGTTGACCATTAATAAGAAAAGCATCAGAAATATTAGGGTCTCCTCCACTAGCAAGAAATTCCTCCATAACTTCCTGTACATCAGCATTCCACCATTCTCCTGCAAAATTATATATATACCTCAAACTTTTTAGCACTAATTAATTTATTAAAATTTATTATTTTTTTTTATATATTTTTAATATATAAATATAAGTAATACCTAGTAGGAGTGGGACTTCAGCATGAGGTTTAGGGAAAGGGTAAGTTTCATTTTTGAGGGGTAAAATAATGAGAGCACCATATACAGAAGCTCTAGACCATTCACTGTGAGCATGCCACCATAGAGTTCCTTCTTCATCCGATAATACAATCCGTTGACTAAACTTCGTACCCGGACTAACCGGACACTGTGTAACATACTCTGGCCCGTCTGACCATGGATACCTAGGCATCTTCACTCCATGCCTGAATTAATTAATTTCCCAAAAATATAAAATTAAAAAAGAAAAAATTATAGTTTAATTTAGATTTCAATTTTATGTAGCATATAGATATATACCAGTGGATGGTAATATTGTGGCTAGCGCGGTTATAAAGATCGACTATGACCAAGTCTCCTTTTCTAGCATATATAGTTGGCCCGGGGAACTGTCCGTTTATCGTTAGCATTGTCTTGTTCGTGCATAGCCTTGTGTGTGCAGAATTTCCCAGCTGCCAATTTATAGAATTAACAATTAGCGAATTACATAAATTAAAATATCGATGAGAAGTAAACGTGAGCGTTAGATCACTTACGACAAACTTGTAGCGACGGACTAAAGCGAGGCCCGGCGTTACATTTCCGAGCAGGATAACACCTAAGAAGAACAAGATGGAAATCTTCGCAGTCGACCACATTTTAATTCGTTTTTTTTTTCTCTCTCGCAATAATCTTGCTAGCAATAATTCTCGATGAATTAATTAAATTTTAGTTTGTTATGGTGTTGGATAAAATGATGGTGGAGTATTTATATATATATAGGGGATGAAAATAGAATCAATATAATGCTTTTGAGGTATGATTAATACAGAAGGGCGATGGCTATTTGTTTACTTATGTCACGTTAATAATGAGTGGACCCATGTCTATATATATATATATATATATATATATATATATATATATATATATATATATATATATATATATATATATATATATAGACATATAAAATTATAAGTTAAATGATAATTGCATGGCTGCGTTCTTGGGTTTAATTATTAATTTTATAATACCCTGAATTTGACCAAGCATCTGTATTAAGTTGTGATATAGAAAGACACTAATATATACATACATATACATATATATATATATATATATAGTGTGTGTGGTGTTTACAGATAATATGTAGACATGTACAATATAGGGATAGGTTTATGAAAGTGATCATATCGTGGCTCAGATTAGGTTAAGCTTTATATTTCCGCATTTAAAAAATTCCTAGTGGTCGTATTATAATTAAAGTTTGTATGTTTATATTATTATTTATTATTTATATCTATTAATTGTTTGAATAACCTTTTTCGTATTGAAAAATGATGTCGTAAAGTTGGTGTCTACATGTGAATGTATGATTGATTATATATTGGAAATCACTTTAGTTATTTCATTAGGTACAACCGCACAAAAATATTATTAATTATAATATATATGCATACACGTTGTGGGATGCTAGGCTTCAAAATTATTATTCGATTGTTCGTCATTTAATTATATATTTATTTTGCTCAAATAAAAATAATTGGAAAAGAAAACTTCTTTGTGTTGGATTTAAAGTGATTTTTTTAATTCTTCGTAGTATAGTATGTACTACAATATTATATTCATTTAGAAAAATAGTAACTTCTTATTTAAGTTTCAACAAAAAAGTCAAAAAAGTTAAACCTAAAGAAATGTTTTGATAAGATTTTGATAAATAAAAACACTGGGTTTATTGTAATTAGTACCATGGTGCTATATCGAATTATTAAAATAAGATTTTATTGACAAAAATTCCTCTATGATTAGAAGAAATTAAATTATAGGAGATTTTGCTGTTAAAATAATATTAATATTTTTGTGACAGTTCGATATAACATATAGGTACTAATTACAATAAACTCTACCAACAATATACACTCCGACCGAGAATCTACATAATTGTGTATAGACTACGACCACGTTCATATTTTTCGGACAAACTTAATCTAGCGTGAAAGATCGTATGAGCTCAATATTAATTAGACGAATTTCGGACATTTGAATTATTAAGAAAACAGTAACTATTTATTGAATGGTAGGTGCGAGGAAACTGAGTAACGGCTGCTGGCTGCATAAAGATGTTTCTTCAGCAGCCTATAATTTGTATTTTATTTTATTTATTTAATATTTAGTTATTTATTTATTTATTTGCACTTTTGGCCCTTTTCTTTTTGGTTTTATTATAACCCTAACTTATCCTACCCACATGTTTGTTGTCCCAAGTTTTGAAATCTCCATCCTTGATTAATTTTCTCACTAGGGCCAAAGCTTAAGTAGTTTGATCATATTTATAATAGTTTGTTGTCCCAAGTTTTAAATCATAATCTATGTGTAATAATTAACATGTTTTTGCCGCCCCTTATCTTTTTCTCTATTTGCATCAAAGACCTTAACATCGGGGGCTTTTGTGTAAAAGGTTTGAATTAACCCTCGTATTTTTGTTACATTTCTCTAACTACCAATTCCGATTGACTTGACTATCAGAATACTGAGAAATCCTCTCGCGACACTCCTTTTTGCAGGTCTCTCAAAAGGCATGGCTCTTCTAATCCGGACTTTTATCACTTCAAAAATACATTTCATTTCTTCGATTCGTGATTGAGTCATTTAGCTACACCCCACACACACACGTATTTGTCCCTATCACCATTTGTTAAGGTAAAAAAAATAATAATAAGCTGGTTGACTGTGCCTAGGAAGCAAGACCAAAGGCCTAACCACTACTACCATCATAGTCAAAATGTCTCGCCCATTAATATATAAATTATAAATATAATATATAGTAATTAATCTTAAGACAATTAATTTGATCGTCATGAATTAACTAACACCATAATCACTTTTCTTACTATTCAATCGCGTGGGGTGCGTGTTCAAATTGGTTTTGATTATTACAACTTGACACCCATTTGAGATTTATGTTACAATTTTCCAAAAAGTCGTCTTGTGTTGGCTTATTTAACACAAACCATCGTACAAGGGAATATATATATGCATCAAGTGTAGTATGTACGTATAGATGTAATTGAAGAATTTGACAGCCACGGGGATGATAACAATGGGAATTTTGAGACGCGACGCGGATTGCAAAACCCGCCTCATTGTCATCCCTAATAAAATAGCATATTTGCATGCTTTAAATATTTGATATATGTGGGTAATTTACAAGCCGACGTGATGTTAGATTAAATCCCCCCATTTACGACTTCCTAATGATCTTCTAGATGCTACATAGGAAGCTTCCAAATTTTTGGATATGAGGATTATACAAATTAATTAGGGCAAATTACGGCCAACCTCCTGAGGAATGGTTAAATTACGAAAAAAAAAATCCCTCTTATTTGGATAATTACAGTCACCCCCTTCTTTTAAATATTTTTAAATAAAATTTATGTAATTCGATTATTTACTGAACCAAATCATATATTCAGTTCGGTAATGGTATGAAATGTTGGCATACGGAAATTTCGGTTCGGTTTTACCAATTTAACATCCCTAAATTTACCTCTAAAGTAGTTTTTCGTAAGATAATACATAGTTGAAGGGGGTGACTGTAATTACCCAAACACGATGGTGAGTTTTCGTAATTTGACCATAACTCAGGTTTTCATAATTTGACCATAACTTAGGATCGGCCGTAATTTCCACTGCAAATTATATATAGTATTTCCCTACAGAAGATAAAGAAACTTTAAAACCATGATGCAATAATTCTTTTGTCAAATCAAAGCCAAATAGTCCTCAAATTTCACAAGGGTCCTAAATCTATACACACCAAAATTTATGGATGATACAAAGAATTAAATAAGAAACAAATTACATAATAAACACTATTACAATTCTGGAAAATCACATAACACTCATAAGAAAAGAAAAAAAAAACATATAATTCGATGCATTTAAGTAGTAATAAAATACCACATGACATATTACCATATTGCACAAACAGCACCAGTTATCCAATGCTATGATCTTCAGACACATTCAAGAAATCATGCTTCATCCTCAGAAACCTGAACATTGTAGCCTTGCTTCTTCATTTCTGCATCATTTTTAAGTTTCATTCAGTTCTAAAACTTTTTTATCGAAATTCATCATTGTAGAATAACATAAGTTTATTTAGAATATAAGGTACCTTTCTTCGAAGATTTATTGTGCCTGTCTTTCCTCACAGCATCATTCTTCCATGCATCGCCCAACTCTTCTTTCCCTTCATCTCCCACATCACTCTCGCTCGCAGTTTCCCACTCTGAATCATCGCTCTCTCGACTGAAAACATCTCCGGCGACACCTTCACACTGCACGCCGCCATGTTTACCAGCGGCATCTCTGAACAACCAAGCCAACCTCATCTGCTTCTTCACAAACCTCTCGGCATACTCCGGAACCTTATTCTGCCTCGACGCCACGTCAGCATCGCCCGAAATCGAGCACTCGTTTATGTACAGTATAGCGTCCAGCAAACTCTCCTTCGCAAACCCTAGCATATCGTAAGCCTGCGCTCTCCTCCACAGGCTCTTCGCGTGGCGGTTGACCGGATTGTGTAGACAGAGCGCACGCGTGGCGTCACTTATGGCAGACAAGGGTTGCTGCAATAAAAGATGGCACTGTGCTCGATTGCTGTACAGTACTATTCTTTCTTTCTTTGACCTCATTGGGCACAGAGCTAGTGCTTCGGAATACTTTGAAGCTGCACCTGAAATATCTCCTGATGAAAAAGACGAATTTCCTTCGAGTTTGACTACTAAGGCAGCCGCCTGTTTGATGTGGAGATCCTCTTTCGGCATATTCTTTTCCCATTTTAGTTTTTCTCGAGAATTGAGAAGCTCTTCGACCTGTTCTTTTGTGTGGCTAGTGATTGAGCTGCGAGGTGATTGGATGCATTCTTGAAGAACGTTAATGATTGTGTCTCCGAGTTTTTTGTGGTCACCTAATGCAGTTACTTCTGCGAGGTCAATTAGAGCAGGTAGCGCAGATTGGATTACCTGCAAAATTGGTGCCCATTTGAATGAAGAGAAATCGTTCGAAAGAGAATATACTAATCTTTCTCTTCCGAAATTCATTTTTAGTTTCTAAATATTTTTTTCAAGAAAATCCCTGATGTTAGAAAGTTATCATGATGTAGATAGTAACATTAGCATATTCTATATTAATTCGTGATTATCAGCCACTGGTGGGTATTAAATCAAAATGCAACGACTAATTAGACATTAACAAAATGAGAGATGGAATAACATCTAATTACACAGCAAATCAGACCATTACTGAAACAAATAGCTTGTTCATACTCAAATGTCGATGACCTCAAAGTTTTTAAAGAACGAATTTCTACGAACTTTCTCAGTATGCAAAAAATTTAATTCAACAATTCTGACAGCAAACAGACCAAAAAAAAAAACATTAAAAGCAATATACATACATACGGAGCAGTTACCTTATGACAGGTACTAGGATCTTGGAGTAACCAAAGAAGACAATCAATCGCCATATACTGCCAGTCATCCGAAGATCGAGCTATATTACACAGCGAATCAATAACACCAGGACAGTTCGAAACCGGGCCCCTACCAACCTTATGATGACAAATCGTCCGTAATAATCCAATTCCAGCTGGAGAACTTTCATTAACAAGCCCTCCCCACATACCAGGAAGTTTCCCCAAAAACTCGGGTTTACAGATTGTCGAAAGAAACTCAGGTTTAAAAGCAAAGCAATTAATAAGCTGAAGCGACCAGCACTGAAGCTGACTAGCCCATTCCTCTGCCTTCCTCGACTCCATCTCAACACCGCCCATGCCACGTGTAAGAAGATCACAGTGGTAGCTCAGCCTTCTATCGACGTACTGGTAAAAATGGGAGTACACGATTTCCAAAGAACTCATCGCCAGCTGTATCGAAAGCTCCAAGATTTCGCCGTGGCTTGCCACAGAAGGGAATGTGGTGGCGTATGTGGCTAAGTGACCTAAAGCTCGCACAGCCACTCTCTGCTCAACCCAGGTTAATCTTCCTCTTAGAAGCTCGACCAATGGGGGGATGACACCTGCATGGACCGCCATCTCGGCGAATTCTTCGACGTTCATGGTGTACGATCCTATGATGTGGGCCGCGTAGTAAGGGATGTAGATGTTTTGGTCGTGAGATAACCAGCGTCGGTTCTTTAAGCCTTTCCAAATTAGGGCTGACATGCACTCGAAAATACCGAGCTCGATGAATTCGGGGTCGTTTGGGTGGGCCATGGCGGTGTTCCAGAGGCCACTGATGGGGAGGACTTGACCATCGTCGTCCTGTGAAGGGAGTTCTCTGAAGAATTTTAGGACACTCGATCTTCGTTTGTTTGGGTTAGCTTCTTTCATTACACAGAAGAAACATCCTGGGTATGGACAGTCGGAGGATGCTTTGTCCATGTCTTCGTGTACGATTGGAATTGGTCTTCAAGAAAGTTTGTAACTAATTCCTCATGAAGATGCAACCTGAGATAATATATATGCATTAAAGGGCATTAACTGAGTTAGATTTTCTATCGGGAATCGTTTAACACGTGGAAAACGATATATACTACTCCCTCTACCCGGATTTCTTTCATTATTTCCGAAATAACAACAGTATGAATACACGATTTCCGCCATTGCAAGTTCGGAACTCTTATCCGAAATCCCTTACCAAATCAAGATGGAGCAGTAAGAAGCTAAGTTGCTGGTTGTATTCATGAATAACGAATTCAACCAACCATGAAAAATCAATCTAGAAAATGCAGATACACCAAAAACAAAAACCTCGGCAAGCTGACAGTCGAATTCAAAATCAACATTAAACATAACCCCAAAAAAAAAAATTAAAGTAACGAATTAACCTAGCCAGAATCAACTTTCCAAACTAAATGAACAATGGAGTTAATCCCAGATTCTGATAAACAGCATGTAACTGAAGAATCACTGACCAATTTCACATCCAGAACGATCTACTGAATTATAAACTATCCGCAAAATAATCGATTCCCAAATTCCGGGTAAACCATCAACATCCCACAAATAAAAAAATTAAATCGCACCTTGAATTTGAGCCGAAAAAATCACAGCACCAGAAACACAGATTAATTCCTCTTTCTCCAGTTGGTTGTTGAAAAGCAATTGACTTATGAACTGAGGAAATTGAATTTTTGTTATTTTTTTTCTTACTGTAATGAGTGAGGTACAGTGAGTGAAAAATCAAATATGGGTCCTTAATTATTTTTTTCTTTTTTCTCTACCGTGGGATGTTTTTTCCCTCTACATGAAAGAGGATCTTGTAATGAAGATTTTCTCTTTTTTTTAAAAGTTATAAAAGAAAAGGATTCATTAATGTTTAATAAATTAATTAATTAGTGGGGCCTTTGCCATTATCTCCACTATTATTGCGCTCTTGCATTTATTTTTTTAATTAATATTTCCAATATTCATGTTTTCTATTTTCAATTATTTATAATGATTTTAATTAAAGTGAAATTGTTTAAGACATGAATTATCAAAAATAAAATAAAATTGTTCTCTAGTGGAAGTACGGTGGGACCTTTCCGGGTTTACCGTTGGAGAGCAAGATGGGGTACTTCTGCAATTAAGAAAAAGATCTTCTGGATTTTGAAATTGCAAACTCGTCCTTTTAATCGTCTGATATCACAATTTAAGTATAAAGTCCAGCTTAATTTCGGCCCAAACCACCCATTATTTGGGCCCGGAGTATGCGCAGACGATGATAGGGTCTACAAATGGCATGGTAGTAGTATTTAAGGAATGGCCCAATATTTTAAAATTTCAAGGGCGAAAAGCAGGTATAAAGTTGAAAATAGGACATAAATAGTATAAAAAATATGAAAATTAGTTTTTCCGGTTATTGAGATGCTACACCCATTAAAATACGGCGTGTGATGAAATAACTTCCCACTGAACACACATACACATTGGTGTATGATTATGAGCAAACCAAAGATTAATGATCATCTGATATATTTCCGAAGTAAAAGTTTATCAACTGTTTCAAATAAGTTTAGCCAAATAAGACCTTAGTCAGAAAAGCTGATTGACAAAACGAAATGGAGTGTAAGGAATTGCGCAATATGTTTGATTAGAATAAGGTTAGCTTTGCTGAAATTAAGGATTAAGAAGACAGTCAACAACCATAATAGAAACAGATTACAGGTTTCCATCCAACCCCATTACAACAAATATAATTATTTATTATAACACATATATCATATATGTGTATTAATCTCGCATAATATAGTTATATGGACTTTAAAAATTTGTTAATAATTTAATTTGTTCAATTCCAATTTTTGTATGGTCCATAAAAAAATTCCCATTACAAAAACACCAGCACCCTATAAAAAGCCAATAATTAGTTTGTCAAACAATCCTTATATTCAAGAGCAAAACAATTTTTTTTAATAATTATTATTATTACATTTTATTCAATTTTTTTATTATATAGAAGAGCAAAAATAGTATTATAGGTAAAAAAAAATGGAAAAAAAGGTGTTGTTGCTTCATGATCAGCAAATGATTAGAAATCCAGCAGGGATGAGTAAAAGCTCAAGAAGCTCCACCAAGTATCTCGGAGTACGCCGCCGCCCGTGGGGGCGGTTCGCGGCGGAGATTCGTAACCCGCACACCAAAGAACGGCACTGGCTAGGCACTTTCGACACTGCCGAGGAAGCTGCGGTGGCTTATGACATTTCATCCATTTCCTTTAGCGGCGTCGAAAAGGCTCGAACCAATTTCGTATACCCGTTTTTGGGCTCACCGCCGCCGCCGCCGGCTGTGGAAGAAAGTGGACTGAAGTCAACGGAGGAAGATGACGAGTCGGTTTTGATTGCGTCGATTTTGCAGAGCTTTAGTCAGTCAAATGGGCTTGATAAAATGCTTCTCTGAATTAATTATATAATTGAGAGTTGAACCCACTTCAAATTTCAATTGGTGTTGAGCCCAAATTACAACGTTTTTTTTTTTTTTTAATATTTATAAATTCCACAAATTATATTGACATTTATTGGTAATAAAATCCTCAATCGTGTCTTTGTAAATTAAAAACGAGCTAATTTTGCAATTAAATAAAATATTAACAACAATTATTCTATTCAAAATCCGAAATGTTAAATGTTGTTTACAATTTTAGTAATACCATTTTGATTTTAGTATAACTCAAAACACTGACATTTCTAATCCAACTTGAATCAGCTAAATTTGATGTCGTATGACAGTTATGGATAAATGAGTTACATTTTGAATTTTAGATAACTTAAAACATCAAAGTTGTGAGTAGGGGTGGGAACGAGTCGAGCTCGGCTCTTTTGGCCAGCTCGAGCTCATCGAGCCAATTTTTTTTGCTGGGGCTCATTTAATTTTTTTATTATTATTTAATTTTTTATTAAAAAATATTTATAGGAAAATAAAAAAAATATTATAAAATAAATAACAAAACTAGTTATATATATATATTTTTAATTTTTCTATTATTATTATTATTATTATTATAATATTTTATATTATTATGAATTATTTAAGTAATATAGATTTGTTTCTATTTAATTACTAGAAATATTTATTATAGACTATTTACTATTTAGTTAATAATAATAATAAGAAGAAGAATAAGAATAAGAATAATATATATATAAATATATATATATATATATATATATATATATATATATATATATATATA